GATTATATATATATATATATTAGGACCAACTGTTTAATGATTATATATATATATATATTAGGACCAACTGTTTAATGATTACAGATTTATTTTATTTTTCACCGATGGTAAAATTTAAAAGAGAATCTATATCGTAGAGGACTAATGCACCCCTTGATTGGCTGCACCCTCTGCTGTAGACTGTAGTTTTGCCTATTCTAGGCTCAACAGTACAGTTTGAGTCTGCTGTATGGTGATTTAATAGGACTCAAAACCTATAGATATTACATACACATCACCATCATAAGAAGCCTAACTGTATTTTTGTTTGTTTGCTGACCCAAGCTGTGCTGATGAGCCTTGAATAGGTGAAATTACAGTCTGCAGCAGAGGGTACGACTAATCAAGGAATGAATTAGGCCTCTATTTTATAGATTCTCTTTTAAATTTTACCTTCGGTGAAAAATTAAAGAAATCTGTAACATATATATATAATCATTAAATATACTAATATTTGTTGCTTCCATTAAGGGCAACCTTGCTTTCAGTTTACCTTATTGTAGGAGAATATTTTGGACAAAATATTTTTTTTTTACCTGATTTGGTATTTATTACAGCTTTCAACTGTAACATTGTCCCTATATTTACTGCGCCATCTATTGGGATTTCGAAATTTCCACTTTTGGTGGTGGATTCTTTATAAAGTTGCAGCACGTATTCTAGTTTTCCCGGGTTTTTCTCTACGATTCCTGACACTCGGCCAACGGAAGGACTAAGAATAGAGACAACTTTGTTTTACTCAGAGAATGAAATACCATTTAATTGTCTAATAACCTATTTACAAAGTGTAAAAAAAGCTTTTTCTTGGTTATGCCAATGATTTTAAAATTCACATTATTTCCGAAAGATACTTATTTAAGATATTAAAATAAAGATTATCCTTATCATATTTTTTTATTTTCCTTTTGAAGTTCAAGGTCAAGCATTACCTGATACAAATTGATGTGCAGATGATTCTAAAAGCACCAGCCACCATTTTGAAAAACCAGAATGCTGTGAACAATATTTTATTTTAGTAAACAATGTTACTGTTATATTGGTTGTGTACTGGCCCCGTTTATCTTTAGCAAAATCCGAAACTTTTTTAACAGATTTAAATATATACACCTGGAAAAAAGTTAAGCACCCCCGTGTTTTTTCAAGTGATTCAGATTCGAC